GTCTTTATTCATTTGATCCTGTAGGTTCCAGACTTTAAAAAATAGTTATGGCGTAAAAATTAGTCCTCACTTATCACCTGAGCACTGTGTGAGTCGACATATAACAATTTTTTAAATCCATGGAAATGTATTCTGTTAATTCTATGTTCTGTTCGTGTCTTTATTGATTACTTTCCTTTTCGCACATTTTAAAACCTTTTTTTTAAATGTATGTGAAAAAATTGTTTTTAAAAAAAACAGACCTCTGTAAATGCTTCTTTTAAAGGAATTCCCAGGTTTTGAGTCTTTTTTTCCCAAGGGTTTCTAACATGCAAAAGTTATGATAAAGCAGCCAGTGTTGAAGTCTGCATGTGTTGAAAGAGATACACCTTGGAGAACAAAGCATCTAACTTAAGATGTCTGTGAGAGAAGAAACCTTAAGCTGTCTGGGAGAGAAGAAACTCAGAGAAGTCTGCCCTCTTACTGTGAGTTGTTGGGTATGGAAAGAGTTAAAGAATCTTATTTGTGTCACAGGCAGGATTAAGAATATTGTCAAACAGTTGTAATTTTTATTTTTTCTGGTTTTGCCATCTAAATGATAGGAAATGTCTGTAATTCTGTTTAATGTGTATTCCATTTTGATGGAAGTTTATATTTCATTGGGGATTGGAGGTAGGATGGCTTAGGCCAGAGCTATTCAACTGGCAACCCAGGGAGGCCTAGTAAGCAGCCCACAGATCGCTGACATATGTATTGTAAAATGAGTTAGGTTATCTTCACAGTACTCCGGATACATCCATAGGCGCTCAGATTCCCCTCTCAACATGTTCACCTCGTCATGCAGTTAATAGAACCAGTCCTGTGTTGGTTAACAAGACTTTGTGTATGTCTGGTGTGCTTCTCATGCTTGGCTGTGCCAGTCTTTACTCCTAATTCATGTATTCTTAGCAGTGATGTGGACACGTTGCTTCCAAGATCCTCATAATGTCCTATCTCTCTAAGGGCAATGACAATGTCTGCGTGATCCATGGGCTGGCCATCTTCAATTAATGCAGCGCCTGCCAGTCTATCAGCTCTCTCATTACCAACAACGCCTGCATGCCCTGGGACCAATATGAAAGTAACTGCACACACAGGAGAATTTTGCAACGACTCAAACCACTGTCTGCGTAACCAGCCTGCCTCGACTGTATTATATTGATGGTTCTGTGCTGTTGCTTAGGCTGTGGTCTGTGACTATCCTCATTTTTGAAATGTTGGCCCCAGAATAAACTGGTTTAGATCATTTTTAATATTTTAAATTATTACCAACTCAGAAAAATGAATATATCGCATATGACCTATTGATTGGTCCTACCATACCATTCAGCTACTGAGATTTGTACCTGAACAATGTGAGTTCTGTCATTGTTCTTTCATATTAATTTAGATAGGCACAGTTTATGGCGGACATGCACTAGTGTGAATCAGGATGTTAACACTGCTTTAAATTAATTGCAAAAATACTTATATTTGTTGTTTTAATGGAAAAATAAAATTTGGGGAGGAGGGTTCTTTCATGAATGTCCTTTTCATTTGTTAATGTTATTACTTGGTCACTGCAAGTATAATAATATATTTAGTCTGAGACACATTTTAAGTGATTATGTCGCTGTACACTAGTTTCAGGAAAAACATTTTTAATTCCATATTTTAGCATGCATTAAGCATCTTTGCTTAGTTGATCCTTATACTTTCATGAAAGCAACTTGTATATTTGTACTGCAGATATTTCTGAAAACTAAAATGTTTGTTAATATCTGTTTGGTTCTGCATACAAGGTGAGTTTTAAGAACCTACATACATAATAATTGTCAACTTAATAGTTCTGAAGACCTGACCAGGAGCTTGCTTGTTATTTCCGGATCACTATTTGCCATTGTAAATAATGTTTTTATATTTGTTCCAACTGTGCTCTTGGTGTTCCTTCAGGCTGTGCCATAATCTGTCAGCTGTGATTCACTTTAGTCAGTTTTGTATATTGCTGTGAATAGAAACAAGAACCGAGCTGTCTTTCTCTGGCAGACAGGCATGGTAAAGCGTGTTGTAGCTTGTGTTCACACTATAAGGCTGTAGACTGGTTAAAATGTGATAGAATGTATTATCCGTAAATGCTGATTATATTGTACTTTGTGTTCGATTATATTGATGAATAATAATACTGTAGTGGTTTTATTTCTCATTTCTTCATCCATGGATGTTGTATTTGTGTTGTCAGTAAATGGCCAAAAATAACTGCCAAAAATTGCAGGTCTTGGAGGATCTCATTGCCATGGTAAAAATTCCAGGCTTTTCAAGGTGAGTACGTCTTTTCCAAGGTGAAAACTAAAGTTCAAGGCCAGGGCCGCACTTCCAAGGTTAAATTCAAGTTTCCAGGTTGGCTACAAACCCTGGTTTACATACAGCATGGCTGATTTTTTGCACCATTCGGCTGACAATGAAGCCAGTTGTAAATACTTATGGCAAGGATATTAGCTATGGAATGTATGACTCCAGTTAAACAGTAGCACTCAGAACATTTGGCTGAGAAGGAACAGTGGTACTGATGTGTCAAAATATACCTTGCAGCGAATTGTAAGGACTGCAGGCTTCACTCGTTGAAAGTGCTGCTGGAAGAAATATTTCATATTTAATTAAGAATAAACATCACAGTGCTCAAGGCATTTCCATCCTCATCTTAAAAAGCAAGTGCAGTTCTAATTCCATTTGCAGTCTGATTGTATATCCGCCTCACCTTTCCCTTGAGTGCTAATCGTCAACCTGATCCCCTGGTCACTCCTTAAAGCACCATGATGATCCATCTGTGCTTCCGCATTGTTTAGTCGCCTCCAATTTCCTTATATATCGGCATATCCTGGAGAAAATATCTTAAGGACGCTAACTATCCGAGGCCTCTGAAGTGATGCTTGCCACTCGGTTACAATGATTCTCTGACTAGATATTGTGATGTCATATGCCAGGCTTATAAGTGACGTCCATTCACACCTTTGCTAAAAACCTCCATGTGCTTTGTCTGCCTTTGAACACAGAGCCAGCTGTATAGATTTTCACATCAATCAGTTGATTCTGTAGAGCCCTCTGGCCAGTCCCTGAACTTATGACCCAGTGTGATCAGAACCCTACACAAGCCAGACTTTTGCTTGAACATTCTGACCCACTTTTCTGCTAGTGTTATCAAGCCTGCACAAATATCTAATTGTCTTCAGCTTGCGCTGTCCAAGACTTTCATCTTTTTAGTCTGTGACCCTTATCTCCTTCTATGCCTTCATGCAGGAAGTGTTTCTTATCTGCAGCACTTTGAGCCTTTATGGCTTATTTGTTTGCAGAATGTTAGCTACGCACCTCAGGCAGATGCACTGCAATTTTAGAGAATGAAGAAAAGATAGCAAGTAGAGGACACAAGAGGCAGAACACCACGAGATGAACAGCAGTCAAGAGAGTTTACAACCAATTAAAAGACAGTATGTTGGAGATCAGTGCAATCTGAAAGAGTTTACAACCAATTAAAAGACAGTATGTTGGAGATCAGTGCAATCTGTAAGAGTTTACAACCAATAGACAGAGTATGTCAGAGATCAGTGCAGTCTGAAAGGTTTACAACCAATAAAGAGACGTATGTCGGAAAACAGTACAGTCTGAAAGGTTTACAACCAATAAAGAGACGTATGTCGGAGATCAGGGCAGTCTGAAAGGTTTACAACCAATAAATAGACAGAGAATGTTGGAAATCAGTGGTCTAAAAGAGTTTACAACCAATAAATGGGCACACTATGCTGGAAATCAGTGCAGTCTGAGAGTTTACAACTAATTTACAGGCAGAGTTTTCTGGAGATTAATGCAATCTGAGAGTTTATTACAACCAATTAATGGGCATACTATACTGAAAATCAATGAAGTCTGAGAAAGTTTACTACTAATGAACAGGCAGAGTATGTTGGAGATAATGTCAAGAGTGAGCCAAATATCACATGTGAAAAGCAGCAGTCGGCTAAAATCAGGATAACTGCAGTTGATTTCCAACAACCTATGCCTAATAAATGGTTGTATTTACAAGATTGCACTGTATCCACAGAAATAACTACAGGAAATGATAGACATTGTGGTGGTAAGTATGAAAAATGGGCCTTAGTTTGAATAATGGAAAGACAGAAGTAATGGTGGTATTAAAGGAAAGAATTATTCCTAAATGTATAATAAAGGTCAAAGGTGTTAAGAATGGGAGAAGTACAGTAATGTAAGTATCTTACATGGGCACATGGATAATATCAGATGAAAGATGCATTACTGAGATAAGAAACAGAATAGGACAGGCAAAAACTGCATTTTATAAAATGAACTTATTCAATATATCTGTCATTGAAGATTAGAAAAAGAATTTTTGCTTGCTAAATACATCCAGTTTAAACATATTGCTTGATTCCTGGACAATCGGTAGGCAGGCCAAACAATTTTCCGAGGCCTCAGAGATGTGGTTTTACAGAAGAATGCTTAAAATACCTTGGACAGCCAAAAAAGAGCAACCAAGAGGTTTTGAAAAAGGCGGGAGCCCAAACACAACTTATCACAGACATCAGAAGGAGACATCATTTTTCGGTCGTGTTTTAAAAAGAGGAGGGAAAACGGAACAAGTGACCACTGGAAAGATCTGTGGAAGGAGGGATAGAAGAAGACAACGAGAAAAGATTCTTGACAGTCTTGTAGCATAGCATGGAGGTGTGTCAGCACACGAACTGATACATGCTGCAGGAGATCGCAGATTGTGTAGAAGCATGATCGCCCACGCCAGTCGGCAAGGCACCTAATGATTCACATGTGGATCCCGGACTCAATTTGAAAATGCTTATTAAGAGGCAGTATATCAAATATTCTTCATTGTGCCCCAAATACAGATCAACTCAACCTGACAGAACACATGACACAAAGAGCACCAGGTATTGAAATCACAAGAATTTAATGGACAATAAACTGATGTAACATTATGTTCAGCTCTCCATGGTTTCCTCTGTGTATTTGCCCTTCTCGGCCAGAGCCTTGGATCTGCTCATTGCCTTTCGCTCCAAGATATTCTTGCGATCTTTATCCAATTTCAGCTTTACAATGACAACCTGTGCAAGAACAGGCGAAAAATAAAATAAAAAGATGATGGTTACAGCATCATCATGCACAATATCAGATAATAAATGAAAGAAAATGGCAAATCTAACCTTTAAATTTTAGCACTAGAACAGAAGTAAGCATTTTAATATTTTCACATAAATAAATGGGGAGGGGGGAGGACCACTTGAAGCTGTAGAAACTATATATAATAAAAGAATAGACAATGTACTGATCTACACTTATAGAAAGTACTGATCAATACTCTGTAAGTGTGTGTGTTCCGGAGCCTCAACACGGGGCTGCCTCTCCAATAAGCATGTCAAAGGAGTTGACTAATTGGGGGCATTGTTTGAAGTGGCAGTATGTATGCCTGAAAGGTAAGGAACCAAGAGTCCCAAAGTTCAACATGTACGGTGTTAGTCACTGTGTCTGATCACAGCTAGTTGTGATACTGTCAATAACTTCTTACATAAATGTACTTCCATGTTACGATGATACATTTCCTAACATCCTTATTGTTCTTCCCGTGCAACTTGACATGCCAAAAAGAATGGGGACTGTCATTTCAAGTTAGTACACTTCTGGTCTAGTGTTATATTTTTAAATAAAACTGTATCTGGTGCCTCCACATAACTGCTCCTCACTTAGTTATGTAGAGAGACTGAGCCAAAGTGTAATGAAGCCAAAGTCTCACCTTAATTTTGTTTATCCCCTAAAGCTGCAAGCACCCAGACATGTATTCTGGTAAGCCACTACTTGACCACTAAACTACCTCAGTAAACAGTACATACAATGCCAGGTGGATCAAGTGTCTATGTGTCATTATGCTAAACCACCCATAATTTTCACCATGATCTAATACCCACAACCTTTCCAGTCCCCAGAATGTTCACCTGACCCCGTTCTTATGACCAACACGTCTTCTCGCTCCCTTTCATATGTGGTTAATCTAACCGGCTACAGGAGGCTATTTAATGAAGAAAAAACACCCCTGAGGGCACCCTGTTAAATTTATGGCTTGATTCACAAACATATATTCCTCTGCTTCACACACACTGGCTGCAAACTTCAGCAGAAAGTTCTGGCTGTTTGTCCATTTCTAGACTTTAGTCTTTTTCCAGAACTTAGTTTTGCAAGCACATACTTTTTGGTTCCTCACCTCTCAGACAGATGAACTCTGAATTTAAAGTAAACATCTCTTCTAATTAGTCTTTTAGGACATGCTTGTAAGGTGGAAGCCCAGCCCCCCCCCCCCCCCCCCCCCCAATGGGATATTATTAAAAAGGAAAGCAAACACAAAAGAATATTCTTACCTTTGAAGGGTGGATACCAACATGGACAGTGGTACCATTAGCCTTCTCTCTCTGCACACGCTCTATGTAAATCACAAATTTCTTCCTGTAAACTTGTGTCACTTTGCCCGTTTGCTGCCCCTTGTAATGACCACGGGTTATCTGAGTACAAGCATCGAATATGTGACAATATAACCTATATGGGCAACCATAACGTTCTTTTTACTCACACTAAAACTTTTTATTAAGCTTACACCGCTCAATGGTCACTTATGCAGAGACATCTAATACATTTGTTGTAAGGCATAAATAACAAACTGTAAATTTAATCTACATATTAATTTAATCCTATAATCTTATCAAGTCCCTTCCACAATGAAGGCCAGCTGAAAGAAGCAGAATAATAACCAAGTGGATTGATACAAGTTCATGTGTAAGCTTCAAACTTGCAGATAATAATTCCAATAGATACAAACACAGTCATATCTTTATTATCCAAAGTGAAACTAGATATCATTCCTGAGAAATCTTTGAAGTCTTAGTGCACCTGCCTGAGAAGCAAAAAACCAACAATCTGCATACAACTGATTAACATGAAGCAAATAAACAAATCCTTTGAACTGAAACATAAAATCAATTACACTGACACACTGTTTTAGTAGGGTAACCACTAGGTGAAAAGCATATCTTTCCGTCTGCATAAATCTGGATTAATCCGGTTGATAGCCGAATCTTCTGAAAACTTCAATAATCTACGGTTAACCGTAATATACGGTTAACCGAAGTGTAAATAATTTTAAATGCATCATTCTTGTTTACAATGTGCCCAGAATTTAGAATATGGCATACAATGGTTGATGATGGATTTTGTCCACCAGTGGAATATGTTCAGCAACTCGTTTCTCCAGTTTTCGATCAGTTCTGCCCAAAAATGCTGCGTTACAGGTGCATTTAAATTGGTAAATACAATCAGATTTGGCGTTCGTCAACACTTATTCTTTCACTGGTGGCGCAGAAATTGCTGTGGTTTTGAATCTGACAACAGGCATGGTTGCATTAAAAGGTTTGGCTGACTGCTGTTCTGAGCCGGTCAGATAAATGTTGCATAACATCATCTCCCCTAAAAGTTAGATGGATATACACTTGTTTCTTTGGCACCCAAATTTCTATGGTAATTGGTTTGGGCGGCTGGCAACGGCACTTAATAAAACCACCTGGATATCCACTAGAAAACAGTGTTTGTCTGGGCATATCAAATTCCGTCTGGAGCGTGCTGCTGGAACAAATCTTTCTAGCGTGGTTGAATTGTTACTGTAGTATGCACCTGACGAGAACCTGCGAAATATGTCAGGCAATACGTTTTGCAATGTACTGTTTGTGTATTCTTTGTTCAAATTCACAATGGGGAAACACTGCTTTGACAATCTGCACACAGACAAGACAGATCTGTAAAATGGAAGTGCAGGCAAAGCTCAGGTTCTAGAACGAGACTTAAGTCTGCAAGTGGACGAACAACCAGAATTTTCCATTGCAGTTTACAGCCCGTGAATAAAAAAGATTTACTTTAGTTTAGGAGACTGAAGATGTTCTAAAAACTACAGAAGAATACAACAGAGCCAGTACCTACTTTATAGCCACATTATGCAAAAAAGATCAAACCGAATTAAATGAATTCACCTTCCACTATTGGATTAGTGAATCATGACAGCAATAGCAAGGAGTCTCTTCAGATACTACTGAGGCACTATGGGATTCACAATCAATCATTAAAGGGGCCCAAAATAACATGGGGTACATTTGCAAGTGGGAGAGCTGAAAGTTAAGATGTACCCAACATGGTAAGCCATTTTAGGCTGGCAAACAGTTAAGAATGCTGGGCTGTGTGGGAGATCTATGTATGAATCTTCTGTGAGGTTATGGGATGTTTCTGTTAGGGGCAAAAATTACATTATAACCTGCAGTCTGTGGCAACAGCATTAACCAGACAGCCTTAAATCTTCAGTCTCAAAGAACCTCTCTCCTGCATACATCGCAAAAGTGGTACAGGCAGCAGTGGGAGTTTTTACAGACGGACTAAGTCACTAACTATGAAATGGCACCACTAATTACAGAAACAGAATTAAACAGAGCTGACTGATAATCTGGACTCTGATCATATGCAAAATAAATTAAATGCATGTTATTGGACACCTAACAATTCAAAGAGGAAGGTCAAGGATGTTAAGTGTAAATCAAGCAAAATTTCAAATGATTCCCCTTTTTGAAACCTCTCTTCAAGTAATCTTCTTCTTCTTCGCATTCACCGGCTGTAAACTCCGGCAAAAAGTTCTGGTTGTTCGTCCACTTCTGGACTGCAGTCCTGTTCCAGAACTTGAGTGTTGCGTGTGCATACATTTGACAGATCTGTGTGCAGACTGTTGGTTCCTTGCCTCTCAGGCAGATACACTCCTACTTCGAAGGAAGCTCCCAATTAGTCGACTCTTACGACATGCATTTGGGCAGGCAGTGGGTCTATTCTTGTTTTTCCCATAGTAGGGCCCCGGAACCCGCACAGGGGACTTCAAGTAACAGAACTGCATACATATTTCTGTAGCATTGTAGACAGAGATGGAGATATGACACAGATTTCACGATGGCCCCTGGAAAATTTGTTGAAGTCAGAAAAAAAATATACAAGAAAACCTTTACTTCTGATCTAAAATTAGTACTTTTGGATGGATTAGAAACATACAAAATGACTAAATAAATCATACAGATCCACTAAAACTAAATGCAGAGAATAATCCAAACCCCCTTTTCATGACTTTGCAGGAAATGATACTTTATCCCCATATAAATATTTATGCTGACCACTATTAATCGAGGAGAACAAACATTTATCAAATACAATCTTGTGCAAACTAGAATATGCAGTTTACCGTCACTTCATCATCTTTTCTAACAGGAATGCTCCTGACATTGTATTTCTGACGTAGCTCCTTTGAAAGTGGAGAACTCATAATTTTCCTTCTTATATGGGATGGAGCATTGAAATGACGGGCTCTATTCTTTCTTCTAGAACCAGACACTGCCTTGTTGAACTTCATGATGAAGCACCTAAATAAACACACAAAACAAGTTTAAACACTGCATTGTCAATAAAAACAAATTTTCTGACTAATAGCATGATCAAATATCTACGACAAGCAAAAATGTTTCCTGCATCCTTCTGTCTATAATACAAGTTATCAAAAGGCATACTAAAAAAGGAGAGGGACATGGACCATGAGGCAGACCAAGAAAAACTACAGCCGGTAGACAACAGTAGACGGCTGGTTAGTCGGAGTTCTGTCCCCTTGCTGCAGTGCAATTACGGAGTGGAAAGGAGAGAACGAAACAAATGACATAATTACTGTGTGTTGGCGATAGGGTGCACTGCCCTGCTATAATCATAAGGTTACGGTTTGGATGTGGGTTAGGGTTGTGGTTAGTGTCGCCGCATCTCGTCTTCGTACAAACTCATAGTAGCAACCCAAACCCTAACCTTACCCCTAACCCAAACCGTATGATGACAGTAGGGCACTGCACGCTGTCTATCGCCAACACACAGTAATTATGTCACTTGTTTCGTTCCCTCTGTTCCACACCGTAATGCGTCGCAAAAAGCGGTAATTGAACGCGGTCGCTAATGCGAGTCGCAGCGCGGGGTCTGCCAGGCATGTCGACCTCACTGTGTTTTCTGATTCGTGCCTTCTCCAGCCCGTAATTGCACTGCAGCCAGGGGACAGAACTCAGACTAACCGGCCGTCTACTGTTGTCTACCGGCTGTAGTTGAAAGGAGAGCCCATATTTCTTTAGGGTAGTCGCCGTGACGTAGCGGCTATACGTTTAAGTGCAGGTCAACCCAGCCTTGAGTGGGTACCAGGTGCAGTCCTGGGAGGTAAAGGTGGCCGGCGCGATGCTACTCACATCACTCATCTTGTGCTGATTGGTCTATAAAAATATGTCTAGTACTATATGCCTAAAGGTGTGAAAAAGGGACCTTTACTTTTATTTGTTATATTTCTTTTGACAGCTGAAATGGTTATTAAAAAAGAAGTTTGTCCCTATCTTACTATCTATACCAACTAGCTTAGTAGCCTACTATGTATGACTCCATATATCATGCATAAGCAAGAGTATAGAGTATTGCTAGAGACAGTGCCAAAACTAGACAACAGTGGGTGGCATAAAGTCAATCATCATTGATTCAACTGATCAAAACTCCAGAAGAATATTGAATATTTGTTTGCTTTGATGCAGTGTGATGGGGAACTTTAGCAAGAATCAGCAATAAACAATATGCCGAAACATAGAAATGTCGCAGGCTTGATAAATGTAGGCGGGGAGAGGAGTGGGTCAAAGTGTCCAATCAGGTTTCAGACTTGTGTAGGGTTCTAATCACTTTGGGATGTGAGCGCAGGGACTGGCCAGCTAGTGCTGCAGAATCAGAAGTTCAACAAATGGTTCACCCAGGTGATGTGATTGTCGATACAGATAGCTCTGGGTTGAGGGGCAGACAAAGTGCATGGGGGTTCATAGCGAAGGCCGAGGGTCGTTGCTTGGTGCAATAAAGCCTGGCATATATCACAACATCTAGTTTGAGAATGGAGGTGAAGGCAGTCACTGCTACCTTCCCCTGGCGTGAGAATCAGCTGTACACACCTGCTGTCATATTAACTGATTCACAGAGCATGTTGAGAAAGGTGGAGACAGGCATGCTCCGTGCAGAGTGACAAGCATCACTTTAAAGGTCCCAGGTAGACAGCATCCTTTGGATATTTTCTTCGGTTGATGCCGGTGGGTTGGGATAGGCACACAGACTCTGATGTATGACACGCTGGATGTTTTGAGGGCCCTTTGGGAGCGAGTGAACAGTGACGAGGCACAGTCAGACCATTCCGGTGTGAGTGAGAAGAATGGCACTGTGAAGAGTTACAAGACGATCTGGCCAACCACTGACACTCAGGGAAAAGGTGAGATGAAGATGGATATACAATCAGACAGTTACTAGTAACATCCAAATTTTAACTCTTCGCTTGCTGCTGAAGATGGGGACGGAGCACTTATGGGTTGTGTCATAGCGAAGGCCGAGGGTCGTTGCTTGGTGCAATAAAGCCTGGCATATATCACAACATCTAGTTTGAGAATGGAGGTGAAGGCAGTCACTGCTACCTTTCCCTGGCGTGAGAATCAGCTGTACACACCTGCTGTCATATTAACTGATTCACAGAGCATGTTGAGAAAGGTGGAGACAGGCATGCTCCGTGCAGAGTGACAAGCATCACTTTAAAGGTCCCAGGTAGACAGCATCCTTTGGATATTTTCTTTGGTTGATGCCGGTGGGTTGGGATAGGCACACAGACTCTGATGTATGACACGCTGGATGTTTTGAGGGCCCTTTGGGAGCGAGTGAACAGTGACGAGGCACAGTCAGACCATTCCGGTGTGAGTGAGAAGAATGGCACTGTGAAGAGTTACAAGACGATCTGGCCAACCACTGACACTCAGGGAAAAGGTGAGATGAAGATGGATATACAATCAGACAGTTACTAGTAACATCCAAATTTTAACTCTTCGCTTGCTGCTGAAGATGGGGACGGAGCACTTATGGGTTGTGTCGAGTTCTGTGATGTTGATTCTTAATTTAACATGACAGAGTGCATCTGCCTGAGGCAAAGAACAAGAAGTGGTACACACACTATAGATAAGGATGGTCGGTACTCCTGTCAAATCCGGACGAAGACTAAAAAGCTTTGGACGACTTAGTCAGAGTTCTCTCCCTTGGCCGCACTGCGAACAGCGGTCGGAAAAGCCAACGAAACAAAGAAGATAGTCACATCGACATCAGGGCTGCCAATGCTTGGTTGTTTCCCCCAGATCTGGTTTTTTTTCCGACGCTGCAGGACAATTCTGGTTTTTTTTGGGTGTGTTGTGTTTGTTGGTTTTTGCTGATTTGTATGCTTTAATGATCGATAAATTTGCGTGGTTAGGGCTAGGGAGTAGGATTAGTAGGGTTAGCGGTAGGGTTAGGTTTAGCGTTAGATTTGACAATTTTGACGCCGGAGTTCCCTATAATCGCGCACAGTCCCATCCACACACAAACAATCGAGGGCCTCTGGATGCCGGTCAAACGCACATTTCGCCAATGATTGGGGGCACCAGCCGCACGCTATTTGCGTCATATTTGGCAGGTTTTCAGTGGCGCCACTCCCACAAACATCAGATTGTCGGCCAGTATTTCGAAATCCTACGTCAAAATTTTCACATCTAACCCTAACCCTACCCCTAACTCTAACCCTACCTCAAACCCAAACACTACGCATCCCTACACGCAACCGTATGATGACTACGCATCCATTCACGATGCCTCACGCAACCGTACGCACCCCTGCACGCAACCGTATGATGACTACGCATCCCTTCACGATGCCTCACGCAACCGTATGATGATAGGTAAGTGTGTCGTTTGTTTCGTTGGCTTTTCCGATCACTGTTTGCAGTGCGGCCAAGGGAGAGAACTCTAAGTCGTCCAAGGCTTTTTATTCTTCGTCCGGATTTGACAGGAGAGCCGGATGGTCAATGGATATCTAAGAAACTGTAGAGTCTCGATCCCTGACTGTACAACCTCTCCTCTATTATTTTCTTGGAGTGCTGCTAATTCACTCCTTTGTGTTTATAATGTCACTGTTAAACGATTTTAGTTTCTGTTCCTGTTCGTCTTATGAATGCATGCTTCAAGGCTTCCCAAACTTTGTTTTATTTGCCTGGCACAGATTTAAACTCTTAATTTCAAATTTATGTTAAATACATATATAATTCTGTCCACATTATAATTTTCAGGACCTAAATTCGACTAACTGTAGGTACTAACTAGCATTTGCTTACTTCTGCCACTGCTTCAGTCACTTCAGATGTTATGCAGTGACTATAAAAACAATTGCATTAATCCCCTTTCTGAAACTAAATACACAGAAAATAAAAATAAAAATTATGAAAAAACATACTTGTCTCGTTACTAACAAGCACTTATGACTGATTTAAAAAATATATTATGTGTGGATGTTTACAGGAGAGCGAGATTTTACATCGATGGATTATGAAATTTTCTAGTTTTCTTACCTCTATCGTGAAACTGTTATTAAAAAGAACTTCCGCTTCCTATAACAAGGGACCTCACTGTGTTTGTTTACAATCAAGTATGTAACTACAGGAATCAAGTCCAAAAATATAAAATGTTGCAATCGTCCCTATGTGAGATAGTTATTGTTATTATTCCTTACGTCCTTCTTAGGACGTTATTTTTTGTTATTTGAAGCCCCACTCTGGCTTTTGCCAGGGGCCGCAATATAGGCAGGTCATAATTATGGCCAAATGTCTGAACGCGGTTTCTGGGACCTCTCCACGGTGATCCTCATCCGCATGGTGGCACTTTGTGTCATCGGGTGTTTATCGCTTGTGTGATGTCCTGGTGGGGTAAAAAGCCAATCCAATCCAATCCTATGTGAGATGCAATTTTTCGTTATTTGCCAGGGGACCTAAATATATAGCCGGGCCATAAATATGGCCTAACGGCTGAAAGGGGTTTCGGCACTCTTCCGAATACCGGTCCCAAATTATTCACCGTTAAAAAATCCTATTCCCATGGCCTCAAGAGGTCATTTTTTAACCCTTAACAGGGCGGTTGGCACGTTGTGTTGTGGTTTACATCTAGGCTGCGAATTATGCGCCTTTCGCTTGTTCTTGTGGTTCACAGCTAGGCTGCGATAGCAGCGGCGAGATGCTCAATGATAATGTCACGGGAAGGTAAACTTCGTTTTTTTCGTTCGCCCTTGATAGAATGGTTCTCACGTTGTGTTGTGGTTTACAGCTAGGCTGCGATATCTGCGCCTTTGCCCCAAAGCATCCGATTTCAGCAGTCCTAATTAGTCGCCTTTTACAACTTTTATGTGGCAGTGGATCTATTTTTTTCTTTCCCCTAAAATATTTGGCCCTGGACCCCCGCAAGGGCAGTAATGGGTAATGTAAACAATGGATCAAAAATCATTCACGTCGCTTCAATGGATGGAACTCTACTCCTCCCCGAGACGCTTAAACAATGGATCTAAATCTATTCTTTTCCACGTCGCTTCAATGGATCGAAAACGATTCCTCCCCACAGCGCTTAACTTAACGTCTAAACATTGATATCCAGCGAGCAATAACGGCACAAGTGGAAACTGATCATGATGGCCTAAACAGTTTTACTACATAACCTCCTGAAGGATGTTTTTCGGCAGTGAATAATTTGGGACCGGTATTCGGAAGAGTGCCGGGTTTCTGGGACCTCTCCATGGGTGATCCTCATCCGCATGGTGGCACTTTGTGTCACCGGGTGTTTATCGCTTGTGTGATGCCCATTTTTGGAGAGAATCCGAAAATACGAGCGAAGTAGCGAGTGTAATTATTTAACTGCAGGCGTTGGAAAATTATATATAAATATATATATATATATATATATATTAGGTATTAAGCAGGTTTTAACTATAATTTAACAGAAGAGCTTCATTTCTCATTCAATTCAATGTAAAAATGTTAAATTATTTGCTAATCCTAATCGGTGACTTATTTAACTTACTACTTTAGTATTTTACTTTGACTTGAAAAGAGCAAGTTACAGTTGTTTCACAGAGCATGTTGAGAAAGACTGAGAGAGGTATGCTCCATACAGAGTAGCTAGCATGGCTTCAGAAGTCCCGGATAGCTAGCGTGCTTGCGTTGAATTCCCCCCCCCCCCCCCCCACCCGACCCCTGGAAATACAGGTGTGTTGGGAAATGAACAGGCAGATTGCCCGGTTCTGGACCACTTGGTGGTAAATTGATGCATGACAAGCTAGAAATTTAATTATATTGTCAGGGCCCCTTGGAACAGGTGCGCTGCCATGAAGTTAACATTGGTTGAGGGGGGGGGGGGGTAAACACCACCAGCCTCCCCCACTTTACACATGTAAGTAAAATTTAAGGGTGAAGAGCCCTCAAATAAGAGCTCAGACCTCTTAACTCCACCCTAGTTATGTAAGAAAACATTGGGGACCCCGAAACCATGCCATCATCATAAGGTAACACATTTTACAGGCAGATAATTCAAGGGAACTGAGCTTCTAGGTTCCAGCGCCTATGCCTTGGAAGCCAGAGAATAGCGGGGAGCACAAATAAATTAACAGGGTCTAAAGAAGATGTTGCAGCAGGGAGTGACATTGACAAAGGGATCTGGCTCAACGCTCACTTCACGGGGAAGGCAGGAAGAACATACAATTAGACTGCGACCACTACCATTGGAATTTTAACTGGCTGGCTGCTCAAAATGGGAATGATGCGCTTATGGGAATGTTCCAAGTTCTATGTCAGTTCTTAATTCGGCTCACTTAGACTCACTCATATTCATAATGCAATGTTATCTTCATCTGCACAGTCATAGGATTTGAAACTTACCAAATAATAAATATAAGGCCAAGAACCACAAATCACCTACAAAATTTAGTTTAGTGTTTTTTTAAATTCAAAGTGGGGCAGTAAATTATATAACTGATGATCCACTTTTTCCATTTGTACTTCTTTTCTTACTATCCATTCATTAGACAGTACATTTTTAGCATTTTGTAATTATAATAATTGAAGCAGTATTTCAGGAGATGCTGCAGTGAACTTTAGTTACTACTTTATGACACTTTTAAAGTTTTATATCCACTGAAAATAATTTAAGTTTTATATCCACTGAAAATAGCTTTATTTCATTACAGTTGAATAATCTTCACTCTTGCTGACTTTGAAATTATAATCATCAGAAAGTGGCTCTGCTACTGGTGTAGTTACTCATGCTTCTTCATTTTTCTTTTATGATCTCCAGCTGGTGGTATCAGTTCATATGTTGACACTTTTTCAGGCCATGGCAAAATATTCAAGAATCTTCTCTGATTTTTTTCTTTCCAAAAATCAAATTGTTACAGCATGATTTTGTTTTTTCTTTTCAATAATGTAGTCAAATGGATATTATTTTTTAACATTGAGAGGATGGGGGGGAGGGCAGGTGAAACCTGTTGAATTAAGTGATTCCCTAATACTCACATTGGCGGCGTTCGTGGCTTAGGCATTGCGAGTCCGACTCGTAATTCCAACGTACGCTTACTTCACGGGAAAGGCAGGAAGAACATACAATTAGACTGCTACCACTACCACTGGAATTTCAACTGGCTGGCTGCTCAAAATGGGAATGGTGAGCTTATGGGAATGTTCCAAGTTCTATGTCAGTTCTGAACTCGGCTCACTTAGACTCACTCATATTCATAATGCAATGTTATCTTCATCTGCACAGTCATAGGATTTGAAACCCACCTAATAATAAATATAAGGCCAAGAACCACAAATTACCTACAGAATTTAGTTTAGTGTTTTTTTTAATTTCAAAGTGGGGCAGTAAATTATATAACTGATGATCCACTTTTTCCATTTGTACTTCTTTTCTTACCATCCATTCATTAGACAGTACATCTTTAGCATTTTGTAATAATAATAATTGAAGCAGTATTTCAGGTGATGCTGCAGTGATCTTTAGTTACTACTTTATGACACTTTTAAAGTTTTATATCCACTGAAAATAGCCTTATTTCATTACAGTTGAATAATCTTCACTCTTGCTGACTTTGAAATTATAATCATCAGAAAGTGGCTCTGCTACTGGTGTAGTTACTCATGCTTCTTCACTTTTCTTTCATGATCTCCAGCTGGTGGTATCAGTTCATATGTTGACACTTTTTCAGGCCATGGCAAAATATTCAAGAATCTTCTCTGATTTTTTTCTTTCCAAAAATCAAATTGTTACAGCATGATTTTGTTTTTTCTTTTCAATAATGTAGTCAAATGGATATTATTTTTTAACATTGAGAGGATGGGGGGAGGGGGGAGGGCAGGTGAAACCTGTTGAATTAAGTGATTCCCTAATACTCACATTGGCGGCGTTCGTGGCTTAGGCATTGCGAGTCCGACTCGTAATTCCAACGTACTGCGATCGAAACCCACTGCTGGCTGCATGGATTTTTATCATGGTATGGGGCGTTGCAGGTTGACTTAGCCTACAATGGGTACCACGATTGCTGTCCTGCGAAAGTAAAGTCGGCCAGCAATATGCTGACCACATTACCCACCCAGTGTCGATTGGTCTGTAAAGATACGGGTTGCTCTTCCCATATGCGTAAAAATGGATCTTTACTTTTACTTTACTAATACTCAGACTATTTCTAATAATTTTGTTTAAAGGCCCTCCAAGTGCAAATTAATTTTTACATTTTCAGCATGCACAGATGGATAACTTCTCTTTCCATAATACGGGGAGCAGATTTGCACTTATTATCTTACTGCTTGGCATGACCATCTTTTTCAAGGGACTGTGGGGTAAGTTTTCTTTTTTGACATTGACATTCTATGATGAGCGCATTGTGAGGAGAGAACAACTGGAGTACATTGTGACAAAAGGAAAGTTGGAAGGAAAGCAGACAGGAAAGACAATTTTTGGCATCAAGGCATGAAAGAATTGCTGTATAAGAATTAATTAACAGTACATGAGGCAGAGTGATATGGCGGCTAGATGCTCGCCTTCGGATCAGAAGGTTGTAGACCAAGCTCCTGACAAAGCCAGATTTTTTTCAAAAAAGACCTTGGCATCCAGGTTGACCCAGCCTTGAGTGGGTACCAGGTGCATTCCAGGAAAGTAAAGGCAGCTGCTGGGATGCTGACCACATGATCCATCAAAGTGCTGATTGGTCTTAAGTCTAGCCCTATATGCCCAATACACTTAAGGCATGGAAAAGGCCGCTTTACTTTACCTTGGTTTTTTTAACTTGAGGCAGAAGGCCTATGCCACTTAACTAAGATGATATGAAGAAGAAATGGCAAATATTTCATTCTTTTTTTTGTTTGCCACTATATATATATATATATATATATATGTGTATACATATATATATATATTATATATATATATAATACATCTACCCATAAAAGGGTGCAGTATTTAACACAAACTGTCTGTTACAGCAGTGCTGAAAAAAATTATGCCTAAAAATATGCCAGCACTTTTGTGTACTGCCAGAAACACAGCCTGCATTAAAAAAAAATTATGTTACCTGTTATTTTCAGCTGCTGGGGAATTTTCTTGTTGTTTTATTAGAAGCTATCTGGGTGAAGCACCTGGAAAGGAAGTCTGTGTCACATATTCACCATCAGTGTGTTATAAGTCAGGAATTACTTGACAACATTAGAAAATTTCTGGTTATCTTTAAATACTATTAGGAGCAACTGGCCACTTGGTTATAGCACTTGAGCTTTCAGGCAGGAGATCCGGGTTCAATTCTCGATAAGGAAGGGAGGTGTTTTTTATGTAAGGGGCAGAAATAAAATTGTAACCTGCGCAGTTCATGGTGACTATACTAGCCACACGACCTTAAATACTCATGACCCACCAGTTCTACACTGCCTTAAAAGTGGTAAATGCAGGTAGCAAAAAATTTTTTTTTTAAAATAATACTCTAATGAAATGTATTTGAAATCTTGGTATTGAACCCTGAAGGTCATTGCCGGCAGGGTTTATTCTAGCAGTACTGACACTTTTTTTTTTTTTTTTGTATTTTACAGTTTATTGTATAGAGATAATACATACATGTTTTAGTTCAAATTTTGTTTTTTTTATATCAGTGATTTAGTTTATTTTATTCATTTTCACAGTAAATGTGCCAGGTTTTTTAAGCAACAATGTGCAACACAGAAGCCAGCTGAGTTGTAACGCAGGCAGCTTCATTCTGAAGGGGATGAAAAGCTGCCATCCTTGGCTTAGTTGTCTGGAAATTGAGAAGGAAGTTTGGGTAACTGAAAGATATCTTGGGTCTGGGGCAGAAAAAATAGTAAGTATCAAGTGAATAAAAGTTAATTAAAGGACTCCTGTTTTCTTCCCCATGTGGGTTCCAGTGCTCATTGTTTTTGTTAGGGGAGAGGGGGAGAGGGGGGGGGGGGTGGAAAGAATAGACTGCTTCTTAACAAGCAGGTCACTAATTCAGGATTGTGGCGTCTGTGGCTTAGGCATTGTGAGTCCGACTCGTAATAACAGCACACTGAGGTCAAAACCCACTGCTGGCTGCATGGGTTTTTATCATGGTATGGGGCGTCGCAGGTCATCCCAGCCTAAAATGGGTACCAGGGTGGCTGTCCTGGAGAAGTAAAGACAACTGGCGTAATGCTGACCACATTACCCACCTAGTGCAGACAGTCTGTAAAAATATAGGTGCACTTCCCATATACCTGATACACCTAAAGGCATGAAAAGGGATTTTTTTTTTTTTTAATTAGGGATTTGTTGAAATTGGATATGTTGGGCTGGAGTTTGCTGATATCATTGCTGTCTACCACTTTCTTGTTTGGCGTGGAATGGGCAGGTCATTATTTTGTGCCTTAGGACAGGACATAAAAACCTTAAAAAGCACATGCACAGACTTCATCTAAGTAGTTCACCATTGTGCCCATGTGGGCTGTTTGTGCAAACTGCAGGATATGTCCTTTTAGTCAGTCTCTTGTCAGCACATTAAAAAGATAACACTGGCCCAGTACGTCAACACTGTACTCACACTTGTATGGAACTATAAAAGAAGTATAATTTTATCACAAGAATTTGTCTGTCAGTGTGCATCAGAGAATGGCCACAATAAGAAGAATCTCTGATGTAAACCACAATCATCATTTTAAAAGTCAAAACAGAAGACAAACTATTCACACCAGCAGGTATATTGGGAATAAGATACTAGTTCATGTTTATTGATTAATTAACACTGGATCTAAATAGGATTTTGGGCAGCTTTACTTCTCATGACATTTTCTTGTACCCATTTAAAGCTGGGACAACCTGGAACCCTGACCATGAACAAATAATCTTGATGCCGTGCCAACCAGCATATGTGCTAACCACTGTGATGTGATGGCTTGCTAGCATAGGACATCAGTTTTTTCTTCTCTTTGATATAATTATTATTTCATGAAGTTATTTGAGAAAAGAATATTTATTTCATGTAGATTCTGGAAGAATGATAGATGATGATAGATAAGAACAATATTGAGAGGATGGGTAAGAAAATAATACAAGACTCCAGAAGTATTATCCCCTGTTTCAAATGCTATAATCTATGTTATTATTGTGTCATGTCAGTTTCTTTCATATTGCTTTCTTGAAAGTATTTTAGGGTAATTTTAACCATCTCTGTAGCTCCACTGATGCATTCTCGATGACTCTGAGTTGTGCCTGCTGACTGCAAGGTCATAATAGATAATTATGCCAACTAATTCATAAACTAAGAACAGAGGATACTAATGAATGTTGATGTGGGATCTTGATTTGTGTTGTGCTTAAAATAATGGGTAGTAGGTAGCCACCGAGCTAGTGTATGCTTTATGCAGAAATACATGTGCAGTTTCTGGTTTATCATGACTGCTGCTTTCATCAGCAATGAACAGCAATTCTAGTGACATACTTTGGTTTTGGTATCTATGGCAGCTGTCTTATGCTTTTAATGCATGTGCACACTCTTGGATTTTACAAGGACTGCTATGTATTCAGCTTTTTGAAAGGGACAAATATAGGCATCTTGTGTGGTTTTCACTGGCACATGAGCAGAGCAATTATGGGGGTGACCCATTTGCTGAAAGTTGGAACCACAACTGATAGCCACTGCGGCATTGATCAAACGATAACTAACAGTTGCTTCATGAATGTCCAGCAGGTGCAGAGCAGTGAAACTAGGAATGACTTAATTCCAGCTCCATTCCGTGATAAATTCTGTTGTCATGTCAACAACCTCATTGATTGCTGTTTTCTTTAAATGTTTTCAGGTTTGACATCTCAAAGTGTATTAACTCTATAAGTACCAAGGAACGCAAAGTGTGTTTGTCAATTTCTTTTCCATCTCCATTATCCACCTTTCTTACCCACATGAGCCGCATTCATTTGTTATGTATGGATCTGCATCATTTAGCTCACACTGTAACAGTTCATATTTGTTGTAAATAACAGCCAGTCTTCAAGTCGAACATTTGAAGAAACTACTTCTTCTCCATCTTCCCTGGATGTAAACTTGGACGGAAAGTCCTGGTTGTTTGTCTGCTTCTGGACTTTGACCATGTTCCAGGACTTAAGAGTTGTACATACTACCATTTTAAAAGTCTAGGTTATTTGTGTGTACAATGTTGGTTCCTTGCTTCAGTGGCAATAGGTTGATAGAAACATAATTTTAAATGCTGTATATATTTTAATACCACTGTATGTCAATTGGGTACATGTGTTTTGATGAAAATATCATGCACAAGATGATTACATGAGACATAATATTGCCCATTTGTAGACCTTTGAGTGTCTGTCAATACATTTAACTTTAGAATTGATATAATAGTACTAAGGTCATTCCCAAAAGCGCTGTGTCCCCATCTTCAGCAGTCAGCACCAGTTGCAATGGTACCAGTAGCCATCTGATTGTATGTCGAATGTTGATGTCCCTTTGAGTGTTCACCAAATCTCCAGGTCACTTCCCATGTCAATATATGTAAATTTTGTATCACTCTGCTTGCAGGTAAAGGAAGGATATTGGCAAGATCATCCAGTAGCAGTAAACATTTTGAGACATGAAGACTTCTTCCACGACTTTCAGCACAACCTGAATATGTTAAAACTATTTAGTAATGAATCCAGTCCCCAGGTCAACAAAATCGTCCAGCTTGTTGGATGGTGTTTCCACCAGCAGACCCCGGTTATTATCACTGAACTGCACCCACTAGGAGCTGCTAACAATATTCATGCAGTTTTAAAAGAAAATTTTCCATCATTTGATACATTGGAATTTAGATTTGGCTTATGTATTGACTTTGTTAACATTCTGCATATTCTTCATTCTCATCCCGATGGTCCACGAGTAATGTGCGATGCAAATGATCCTGACAAAGCACTGAGCCAGTTCTTGCTTTCAGAAAATGGATCTCTTATTCTCAATGACATGGATGCACTTCCACTGGTGAATAAAAGCTCTGGGGAGTTGGTAAAGTGTGGTCACAGAGAGCTTCATGGGGATTATGTGGCTCCTGAACAGCTGTGGCCATATGACACAAAAATGTATGATGATGGAGAAATGCCACATTATGATGAAAAAGTTGACATTTGGAAAATACCTGATGTTTGCAATTTTCTGCTTGGGGACATGACAGGTGCCAGCAAACTCCAGTTACATTTATTTGGTATTCATTCAGAGTGTAAAAAGGAAGACCCTCAGTTGCGACCGTCAGCCAGGATGGTTTTAAATTACTATAAAACTGTTCGTCTGAGACTAGGCTGGAACATATTCTCTCCAAGATCACGGGATGAGGGCTGATAGTGAATTCTACATGCACTTGATTGTTGTGTGTGTAAACTTGCTGAAGCATTAATTCTGTCTATGTGTGAAGCTAGTAATCAAAACAACTACTAATAGTAGTAAAACATTTTACCCCACTAGGACACCACACAAGCCATAAAAAACTTGATGACTCAGTACCACCATGTGGATGAGGATCACCCGTGGAGAGGTGATCTGGTCAGGACTGAAAGGGACTTTCAAGATGTCAAACATTACTGTTACTTGATAAGTGGAAGTGTTTTAAAGTAGGTTTTTGTACAAACCAGAAACTTACCACTCTTTCCATTGCTGACCCTGGGGCAGTGGCTAAAGCAACACCATCAGTGCTGCCACTGGTCCAGACAGCAGTGCTGACCTTTTTGGCCTTTCAGGACCAAACTATTGGTACTTCACATTGACAGCTGAAGTGCATTGCTATGATAAAGTGCACAGTGAATGAATATGGATGGCTGACTCGTTTCCATCATGCTGTTTTGCCATTAAATGTCACAAATGGTTTGCAGTTTATTCTCCACTTTCCATTCTAGGATGCCTGATTAGGACATTGAAATTTCACTTCAGCACTCCGACAAAGAAAAGGAGAGAATCACCATTTACTGGTTACCGGCAACAATAACTTAACTGGCTTTTAAGATAGTAGTGTAAAATTTTGTGTGTGTGTGGTAAAAATGCAGATGTATTCCAGCTTAAGAATTCTGTGAGAAAGTCATGAGCTTTGTGCAGATGGAAAAAAAAGATGTTCATTCACTGTGTCCCGTGAATGCCTTACACACTCTAACCAACACATCATTAAAATACCTCATAGAAGAACAATCTTTCATGCTAAAAATATACTGTCTCAGCAAATGGGTGCTGGTTGCAGTGTATACACTGCTATGAGGCCCCAGTCTCTTTCATGGTACGACTGTCTAAAAGCCTTGAGAGCGGCCTTTTTCTAAACCGCCCACTAAGAGACTTGAATCTTGCATTGTGAAACCATTTCACCACAGCTGGCCGTGCATTTCGCTAACTTCTGAGCCACACTGTGAAGATAACCTTGAGGCAAATAAATGTATATAAGCAGACAGATAACTAATAGATTCCAAGCTAATCAACTCTGGCAAATTTCCTCATATCATTCAAAAATATAATTTTTCTTCTGGGTTCATCCGTAGGTGTTATTATGTTGTGCGCCTTTCAACACAGACTTCTGCAGGCATTTGTTGACATGGTTAGCCTTCTCCAGTAAAAACAGAATTCACGACGAAGAAAAAGACAATACAGTAAACAACAGCCAAGGAACTACAAGTTACACAAACTAAAACAGAGAAACAGCAGCAAGAAGACACTAAGAAAATCAAAGAAACACAGGGGTTCAATACTGATGAAACAAAAACAGTCCAGCTCAATGCACAGATGAAGATAAAGAATTTCTCACTGTCATGTATAATAATAAAAGATAAGGGCAACAAAGCAATTCACAACACTCAAAACCTCTGCATTCTTCTGAAATGTAAACGTGCTGTGCCCATTCACAACATGCCTGCAGTATTTGCATCCAAATTGTGCAAACAATTTGTGGCTAAGTTAGAGGAAAACTGCCGTTAGCCAAAAGAAAACACAAGAAGCGATGTACATGAAACTATGAGAACATAAAACTCGTCAATTCAAAACACCCAAAGAAACTAGCAGACAGTACAGTGAACTACAATTATTCTCCTCGTATAAATTCCGGGACCCCATTTTGGGGAAAATAAGAATACACTTATTGACTTCCACCTCAGCAACCCTGAAATATTAAACTATGGAAGTGCAACTGCATCAGAGGGGAGGAGCCAACAGGCTGCACAGAAATAAGTCAAATCTAAAAACGGACAAGCATACAAACTTCAAGTCCTGGAACAAGACAATATAGAACTTTTATTCAGCCTGCAAACATAAGTTCACTTTAAAGCAACATTGTGCAACGAAATAGCCAAACTTCCTTAGTTGTTTGACATTTTACCCAGGACATCACACCAAGCGATCAGCCACAATTCGGATAAGGATCATCCGGAGACAGGTCCCAGAAACTCCATTTAAGCCATAGGCTGGGTTATATTAGGCTCCCCCTCCCCCCTCGACAACAGCCAGGGTTCAATTTTTTTTTTAATGCGTCCCACATAGGAACGTGTGCGTGACCAAACTTCATTTTCAGTGAACTGTTTATTGCCTATTTTGTCAGGCTGGCTATTGGCCAGAGACAATTCCTCATTAGAAATATAACCATGGACGCTGTGCCCCAGCTCGCCATTCACGACCAAAGGTACTATATTTCTCGTTAAAACAAATTGATATAATTTTTCTTAAACTTATGAATTAATATCCGTTTTAACACTTGTTCACGTTGATTCTTTGGCTTCGATATTTGTTGCGATTATCTCTCTTGCATTATATTTCGTTCAATCAAATCCCAGCGGAGACGAGAAAACAAGCCTTCGTTAGGACTGCTAGCTACATTCGAAAATCACAATCAGGATGGCAAGCCAATAGCGAAACTCCCAGGTATCCCTGTTCAACTTCCAGATAAAATTATATTTATGGCACCCGTAACTGCCACGTCAGCCCAGTTGATTTTGGTCGAGAAAGGACAAGCTGTGGCTTAAGCGTTGCGAACGTGTCTTGTGAATCCGAAAAATCTGGTTCGATTCCAGCTGTGGGCGATATGTCAGCAGACCGCTTTGCGTTGATTTCGACAGTAGTATGGAGCGCAGACCGTTTTGTTGGGCAGTGACAAATTACTGAACGTAACATTGTCTAGGAAACCCACAAACAGGAAAAACAAAATGTTGTAGCTGGTTGTACAACGAGAAGGACATGCAGCGAACTTTTTAAAACTAATAAGTTGTAAACAAAAGACTAGCGTAGCATCATGCTAGTGTCCAAATTAGTGGCTAGGCCTTCGTGTAAGGACTATAACTATAACACTTTCCATTGCCATAGAAAAATGCATCATTTTACTATTTTTTATTGCTGAAAATTACAGCTACACCCACTCAGTTCAGGCATCGAAAATAGAAAAGAATCCTTGCGCCACTTTTGCAGAAACTGTAACGTAAGAAAGTTACTATAGTTCGTTCAACAATTGATAAACAGACTTGCAAGCCATTTTCTAGAAAACTGCCTGTTAAATCACAATGGTTTTTTGCATGCAGTCTTAGAAAATCCATGACGCAAAAACAGTGGTATTCTTTAGTCCACAGATGCTCAGTATGCTGAATTTCAGCCAGTTCATTTTATCTTTTCGAACCATTGTAAATAAGTAGAGTGGACTTTTAGATTTTGCAGTAAATATCTGAATTTCCGGTTCTTTATTTTTTTTCCCCAGAGGCATGCCTTCATAATACATTGATCGGCGAAGTAAATTTATTGGTTGTCATTTATGTTCATTTGAGTTGCTGCGTCAAGATGGACATCACAGAACTCACGGCAGTCCCATATGCGCTCCGTCTCCATCTTCAGCGGCCAGCGCAGAGTTCCAATACTAATGGTACTGGACGCTGTCTGATTATATGTCCATGTTGCCGTTCCTCTGAGTGTAGTGTGCCGGCAAGGTCCTCTGGTCACACCCAGGTGTATCATTCTCTCCGGGCCATGATAATCTATTTTTTCTTCTTCGTTACTTGTTCCCAAAGGACCTTGACCACATCTGCCTTGTCTTGTATCAATTCACCACCCAGTAATATAGATCCAGCCAATCTGTCTGCCTTGTTCAATTGTAAACATGTTCCCAATATGCAACAGTTAGTATTCCCCTTTGGTCACCGTTAGACCTCATGGTGTATCTTAATTGCACAACATTGTATTATGATTGACACATTTGGATATGGAGATGTATTTGTTGCAACTGTAGATCTACCTAACGGGTTGTTTTGCGATCTAAGAGTCAGTTTTCGAGAAAATGGCTTACATGTGTGTTTATCAATTGCTGTACTACAATGTTAGCAACGCAGGCATACTCTCAACAGCGAAGCGACGAGGAAAATAACACGTGACGCCATCTCCAGTGTAATCATGACATGCTAACGCTTACATAGTTGAACTGATAACGCCTCGCTGCTGATTCAAACATTCCCTGTGGTGTTTTTCCCTCCGTCATGTGTTAATGGAATGATTGTATTATTGTTATCTGCCGCATGCCATTTTTATAAGTTACCTTCTTATACGGGCTCTCTTTCTCTCTCTCTCTCTCTCTCTCTCTCTCTCTCTCTCTCTCTCTCTCTCTCTCTCTCTCTCTCTCTCTCTCTCTCTCTCTCTAAATAAGAAGGTTGAGTTTCGCGGAGAAGAGACAGAAGTCTACTATCACGTTGGAAAAAAGTGGGGGGAAGGGGGAGAGGGGAGCTCTGACTGTTGGAGACACCGTACCTATGAATACACATGAGGTAGGGAAATATGCGGATCGAAAGGTTTCCGGCTGGCCACGGTGTGAACAATGGACGTTTACATTATAGATGGATACTTACACCGCCCTTTGAATGTTATATGAAATGTGTTACAATTTTGATTGTGAGCAATGGTCTAGGCAGGATATGAACTTCCTTATTTTCCTTCAAAACATGATGTCTATACCTCATTGAAATTCATCGTCTTTGTGTTCTTCTTAGCGTTTAAGTCATTGATCATGTTACTTCTGCAGCCCTGTTATCAGTATCAGCTCCATCATTTTCCCTGGGTCACTGCGTGGACATAACCTGCGTATATTCAGAACATGACCGTCTCTAGTACTGGAGACTGTTATGCTAAGAATCTACACGACCTTCCATTAAAGTTATCTTCTTTGTGGGTTTAGAATATAAACACAAATTTCTTCAATCTCTTTCCGTCTTGCTCTAACTGACATCGCCAAATGCTCATATAGTGCAGGATGTGAATCCATTCTATCTATTCCTTTCGTTCGTCTGAATGCGTTGTGTCTGTTTACGGCAGGGCTGAAATATTTGTGCCATTCGGTCATGTCC